AAGGTAGCATTCAGTCTGCAGTACTTAGTGCTGATTTTGTTTCATGTCTGAGATGAAGCTTTGTCTGCCAGAAGCTGCTACCTCTGCACAGCTAGAGAGAAACTCGATGTGCAGAGCTGGAATCCAGTAAGGGGAAGAGGGGGCTGTTCAAAGATGGACCAAAGGAAAGTAATAAACCTAAAATAAATAATAATAATGAAAATCTAAAATAATGTTACTGATGCAAGCAGACTTCAGTGTTGTCTAAGACAGAAGATTTAAATGCTATTTGCTGGCAGCATTTTTCAGAGCCAATGCTGCTTGCAGCTTCAGTTAAATGAAAAACAAATCACAGATACGTTAAAACTGCACTGTGTGGGTCAGACTGTTGTTTTCAATGAGCAGTGGTAAAACCCCCACTGTGGATTGAGTGTGGTTTAAAGTCCTGTCATTACTGCTCACAGTGATTTAAAAAATAGCATGTTCGATATGCTTTTGAATTACATGAATGCTTCTGTTTTATATAATGAAGGAGAAAATTATTAACAATACATTAATTTTTTGTTTGTTGCTCAGATGGGATGTTTGAGTCCCTAAAATTGAATGTTAGTGTGAATCACTGTCTCAATAGCACTGATAATAAGCTCTGCTTTTAGATGGATTTATGTAAAGGTTTGGTTTTCTTTTTCTTTAATCTTTTATTGGTTTATAATGGAACCACCACCAGCCTTCTAGTGGGCCAGGCATGGATAGCCGTCTTCTAGCTCATGTCTGAGCAGCTGTGATATACTGGCTCATTCCAGAGTCTCTTAGATTTTTGGATTTAATTCAGTTGCTCCGACATCACATTTTTTCTTGTTGATCTGAATAGGAGTTATTCATAGTAAAGCACCATTAGTTCAAGTCCAGTAAATGTAATGGTGTGAAGAAAACTGTATAAAGAAATGTGGTTGTAGTGGGTTTACGTGGCAAGGTTTTGGTAGCAGGGGGCCATAGGGGTGGTTTCTGTGAGAAAGATCTAGAAGCTGCCCCATGTTTGGGAAGGGCCCCATTGTTTTCCAGAGCTGAGCCAATAAGCAATGTTGTTTTGCGCCTCTGTGAGAGCATATTTAAGACAGGGAAAAAAACGCTGCGCCACACAGCAGCTGGGAGAGTGAAGGGAGTGAGGAACGGCATCAAGGTCAGTGTAGAAGGAGGGGGAGAGGTGCTCCAGGCGCTGGAGCAGAAGTCCCCTGCGGCCTGTGGTGAGGACCATGGTGAAGCAGGATGTCCCCCTGCAGCCCATGGAGTACCACGGTGGAGCAGGGTTCCACGCTGCAGCCCGTGGAGGAGACCACGGTGGAGCAGGTGGACCTGCACTGACGGAGGCTGCCGCCTGTGGAAGACCCCTGCCGGAGCAGATTCTGGGCCGGACCTGTAGCCCGTGGAGAGGAGACCACGCAGGAGCAGGTGACCTGGCAGGAGCTGCTGCCCGTAGGGGAGCCAGGTTGGAGCAGTTTTCTCCTGAGGGATGGACCCCGTGGTACGGACCCATATCTGGAGCAGCTCTGGAAGAGCTGCTGCCTGTGGGAAGCCCACGCCGGATCAGTTCATCAAGGACTGTATCCCGTGGGTGGCACCCCACAGCACAGGGGACGAGAGTGACCGAGAAGGAGCGGCAGAGAAGAAGTGCTGTAGACTGACCATAACCCCCATTCCCCCGTTCCCCTGTGCCGCTCAGGGGGAGGAGGTGGAAGAGGGTGGATGGGGGGGAGGTGCTTTTGGTTTCTTTCCTTTGTTTCTCACTTCTCTAGCTTGTTAGTAATGAGCAATAAATCTTACTATCTGTCTTCTTATGCTGAGTCTGTTTTGCCCATTACAATAATTATTGCGTGATTTTCTCGTCCTTATCTTAATCCTTGAGCCCTTTTCACATATTTTCTCCCCATTCCTCTTTGAGGAGGGGGAGTGAGAGAGCGGCTGTGGTGGGGCTCAGCTGCCCACTCGAGCGGAACCACGACAGTGGTCCACTGAGTTCTTTTTAGACCTATCTTAGGTGAAGATTTGGCTGCTGCTCTGGTTCAGGAACACCATCAAGTCACTAAATACCCTATCAAGGTATACTAAATACCCTATCAAGGGTATTTAGTGGTTCAGGAATGCTATCAAGTCACTCAATACCTTAGATTAAGCTTTGTTTATCCTCTTAGTTAACATAATGAATCGAGAAACCTTCCAATAACGTTAGAAGAGTGACTCTTGAGTTCTGCTCATATAATTAAGTAACTGACTGACAAACTAGGTAGGAACCTGGTCAACTTATCAAAAAATAAATAGAAGAAGCTAATGTTTAGAAATAGTAGGAAAGGTCAAAGTGAATGTCTCCATCAGTGTCACAAAATTTAAGCTGGCCACTTAGGATCTGCTGTATTTACAAAGGAAATTTGCATATGCAGAAATCACAGTATAAATATGTTTCTGTTTGCAAAAATCTCCATTCAGAAACATTGGCATTTATCTGAGCACTCATCTTAAGAAGTTTGATCCCAGTTACCCAGGTGCAGGCAACCAATCCGGAGAAGTTCATTGCAGTCGGTCTTAACGTGTCCCCATGGTGTTCGGCAGTAATGCTGTTTTGTGCTCCTGAGAACCTTTTGCCATCTTCACAGATGAATCACTGCAAGGGCTGATCCTTCAAAGTCTTCTACTGAAACACTCTTATCTGTCTGTCCACAGAGCTGTCTGTTGGAGCTTTTTGGATAGACAGCAAACTACAACAGGGATCTTACAGAGAAAAGAAATGATCGTCTTTTAAGATCTCTCTTTCTACCATCTCTGACACCTTCCAAGTACTGAACTGATGGAAATGAGTAAAATCTTTGGGTTAGTGGAGTCATGACTGAAATGTCCCAAGGAAGTCCAGTGCCATAGCAGCATAACATCCCTAGATCTGGAGGACATTAAGATATGGATTCCTTTTTAGTCGTGCTGGCATCTAAGTGCCCAACAAATAGCTAGACCTTGGTTCATCAACACTTTTCCTGAAAGGCAGAGAACGATAGCAAAAGAACCCATCCCTAGAGCCAGCTTTATTGCAAGGGGCATCTGTAAAGGGCACAAAGTATCTAGGAATCTAGTTCATATTGCTTTGCCTGCTGAAGCTCAAGAGCCTGATGACTTTATCATATGCTGTGATGGCAGAAGCCCAGCTGTGAAACAACATTAAAACCGTTACATTAGGTCAGAAGATGAAAGAAATGTTGTGAGTCACTGACCGATTAAGCAGTCTGTCATCAATAATTGATTTTGATGAAGTGGGACAGTAAATATGTGTGGGAGAAGTAAAAAATAAGTCAAAACTGAACCTATAGCTTGCAGTGACAGTTATGAAGTAGGGAAATACTGTGCTGTACTTCTGGTGTTTTAATTTATGTGTGCAGATAGGAAGAAGTTGCTTCTCTTTCCATTTGGAAAATGGACATTGGACTCTTAATGCACTTACTGAGTTGAAGTTAAATAAGTGGAGAGGTCCAAGCCAGTAATAGTATAAGCAAATAGACCTCTATTACGTCAATCAAGTTGTGGCTATTTATTTTAGAGCTGTTTTTGGCTAGTGTATTGTGCTCAATATATTGCATTATGGAACACTTTGACTGTGCTGCAGATCAGTCTTCTGGAGTATGTGGTAAAAATGTTCACGCAAAATATAAAAACAAATGTGGCTTGGTTGTATCACAGAAAGATTTAACTCTGCAGAACTCTATGTTGCTTCGCACGCTGTACAGCCAAAGCTCGCCAGCGCATACTGAGCTCTTATAATGAAAGTGCAGCTTCTACCATCAAAAAGCCCTTTAAATAGTATAGCTTACATCAGGTCCGAAAGTGAAATAGGCTACTTCAGCAAAAACAGTTCTGTGTCTGTATAACCACATTTAGGGTTTTTGTCAGTATGGAAACATCTAAATTCAAAAATCACACCACTAAATTATTAGTACTATACCAGCAGAAGTTTCTACAGTTAACCTAGTCTCAACCAATTCTGCAGTGAGGTTATAACCATAGGGGAATGAATCTGTGGGTACTTTCCAGCAGTTTGCTGGATTGAGAGATGAGTGGAGCAGAGGTTTTCCCACCCAGCCTCATTTAAAGCATGTGGGATATCAGTATCCATATGGGAAGCTTCATGATTAATCATTGTGGAGATTTGTCTCTGTGGAAGACGTTTCATTTAGCCCAGGATTGAAAAACAAAGGATATGTTGCTGCCACACTAATCAAAAACACAGACAATCTGCTGTTCATATGTGCCAATTGTTGCAACACTGTAATGTAAATGCACTTAAAGATGAGACAAATAATTATAGGCAACCATTCTGCAGAAAGCTTATAGGAATATGGGCTCTTTAGGGGGATGCTTTCATGTGCATAAAAAGCCTTTCACATACTTAGCTCTGGTTGCCAAGTTCTTTGTGCTTGCTGTTGGTAAGTACATCAGAACATAGCACCTGAATCCAGAGAGTGCCAAACAAAAAGCAAAACTGTAGTCAAGGGGTGAAGAAGGTCAATGGAAAATCCAAACAGTAGGTGTGTTTGTGTGCTGTGGTGGTAGGCACAAACACATAAACTGACTTGAATCCCAGAGAACCATATTTATTTATAAACACAGTAGGTATAGCTGTGCTCATATTGCCACTCTGTTTAGTTTCTGGAAGTTTCTATGTAAGAGAAAAACATGAGCACTGCCACTGAAGAGTATCTGTAGAGAGATGGCCACTTCTGTAGGTTGTGCAATCTGTCAGCTGTGGGCATATAATACTTTTGAAAGGATCAACAGTGGCAAGGAATGAATTGTTTTTGTTCAACCAAGTTTCAAAATGTATTTTGTAATAATATCTGTTAATATTGAGGCTATTGCTGAACTAAGGATCAAACCATTGCAGTATAAATAGATACTTCTTCTACAGCTACTATTACAGTGAGAATTAATTGTACCCTTCCCTTTCTCCTACAGTTTCAATAGTTTCTTCTCACTTCTTCAAACAGGCTGTTGCCCTCGACTGTTGAGTTGTCGCTCTGCAAAGCTGTATTCATACAGAACTTGAATACCATGTGCAAAAGAAGAAAAAAAAAAAGCAAAAGACTCAGAAAAAGGCAACAAGAATGATCAAAGGTCTAAGCAAGAGGCAACTGAACTGCTTGGATTCTTCGGTTCAGAGAATAAATGAGCAAGGTAGGATCTGACAGAAGTCTACAGATCATAAGTGGCATGGGGGGGTGGGCACTGGTCACCAGCTCTTACAGTACAAGAGCCAGGGACTGTCCAATGAAGTTAGCAGGAATCATGTTCAAAAAATGAAAAAGAAAAAAAAAAAAGTAGATTGCTATAGGTAGACTTCCTGCCTGCAAATACTTTGGATGCATTAAAAAAAATATGTCTCCATGGCTTTTAGAGGAGATGGGACAAGTACCTGGAAGGGACAGCTCTATTGGAAATTACCAAATGGGCACATGAAGCTCAGGAAATATTTCAGCTTAAAATAATTACAGACTGGAAAGTACTCCAAGGAAGTATCATATATGTTTTCTCCCATTCTTAACTTACACGTGAGGTGTGCCTGTGGCCACTGTTGAAGACAGGATGCTGAACCAGATGGCCATTCTGTAGCTCTTACATACCTTTCTGTTATACCTGAGGTTTTGCCAAGATATTTTAACCGCTGATTTCTGAGATGTGTTTTCTTACTTGGTCAGTCTTCCTAGTGCCAAATTTAGTGCGGATATTTCCAGATTTCTTCAAGATAATCTTGCTCCTTGTATCTGCACAATTAATTTAATGTTATTAGGTGCGATTGGAACAGGACTTTTGAAACTAAAGTTCAGATGGCATTGTCCTTCCACTCGCCCCTTGAAATATTATTGTGAAAATGACTGCATCTTTCTTTCTGCTTGATATTTCTGTGGCAGTATGTTCCCAAATGAGCCAAAAGAACCGTGGACTTTCTGTATTGGTAGCTATTCATACATTGCTCTGCTGCTCATATATCCTATTCAAACTATTTAAAACTATCAAACTATTTCTCTCTAGGTGCATAAGCTTCAATTTCTAAGCTAGATTTGACTTAGTTACTTTTATCACAAATATAACCCACTGATTCTAGCCGTTAGTTGTTTTGGGGCTTTTTAGCTCACTGCCATTTGAGAGTCTTACAAGCAAAATTTTGATCCCTGATATGTTGGATACAAGACCAGTGCAAATCTTACATGTCTTTGCTAGAATGCAAGACAAGTACATAAAATAATTCCTTATTATAATTCTTAGTGGTAAGTGTTGCTATTAAGTCATCCGCTAATTTCTGATTCTGTGAAAGAAACATGTTTTGGGCAGAAATTTTCCAAGCCTAGGTTTGTTACAAAGTAAATTGTTTTCTGAATAAAAAGCTTTTAAGCAGATAGACAGCTGAAAGGACCGAAATTCAAAAGTTGCAGTTTGCATGGAAATTGTCTTTATTGTGGAGTTGTCTATAGGTTTTTTGTTTTGGCCTTCAGTTCCAGTTGTCTCCTTTGCATGGCAGCAGCCATCTTGTTTAGTTTTTGCCATTAGAAAACAATCAGAAAACCCGTGTTGCCAAGTACAAATGCGTCTCATTTTTAAAGTTCAGCTGTTTTCTCCTTATATGATGAATTTTATAGAGCGGCTGCTGCATGATACCTTTCAAATATGGCCAGCTCTGCCAATTCTCATGAAAGGGGTGTTGTGGCCAGACGTTATTGTTGCTGCCATTACAAGTTCCGCCATTGCCAGCCAGACCTTCTTGGCTAAAACGGCGCAATTTTCTGCCTTCATATTTAAGGGGCTAACTGGCATAAAAGCAAAACCTAGCATTTGTCTAGGTGCACAGCAGAAAGAAGCAGGTGCATATACAACAGTGCAGGGACTCAGCAGGAGAGAGCCAGTGTCTCTAGGATTTGCATTACCATCTCAAAAGCTTTCTAAGTAGAACTGAGTAATAGTTGAACTAGATTGCATCACAGGACAGAAGATATCTAACGGGGCATATGAGACCAAGAAAAAAAAGGCAAAAAAAAAAAAACTACCTCTGTGTAAAAAAGTGACTACAGCTGAGAAGCTAAAGGAAGGTAGAGGTGAATATAGAGGTGTACAGACCCAGTCAAGAAGGTATCAATATACAGTTGTAAGCTGAATATTTGGCAGGTGGAAATTAGTAAAAATTGTAGGTATCCTATTTCCTTATTAATTCATGATACTGGTGCTGAACATGCTTAGTTGAAACAACACCTGTCCTAAGCCCTCCTATAAAATAGGCTTCTGGAAGGACTGCTGAAGTTGATTAACTTTGTTCCCCCACCTAGTTTGCTTTTCACTCTTGTTCTGGTTTCACTCAGGGCTGGAAATGAGAGTTGTCAGGAAGGCTAGTTTTGTGGTGCACAAGGAAATGCAAGAGCTTGCCAATGGAAACCTTTGTCTGGCTAAATTTTGTTAAAAACGTATTCATATAAACTCAAGTGACGAGCCAAATGAGTTGAATTCCTCATTCATTCTGTGAAGCTTTACATGATGTGACAACCTGGGAATGACACAGGGTAAGACTGCAATCAAACTCAGTTGTCACAAGCTCTCTGTTAGACAAGCATCACTTCCAGCACTTGTGTCCCTGGTGCCAGACAGCAAACTGTAGCTTTATTTTACTAGGTAGACCAAAAGATGGAAGAGTATGTTCTCAGCAAAGTGTGTGTTTTTTGAGGAGCCTCATTCTTTATTTCTACCTCCTCTCTGTAGCTGGTTTCAGGGAGTCCATATTTTTTAAGCTGACAAGACATGCTTTTTCTTTATTGCCAAACTGGTGAAATGGTTTCCAAGAGAAAAGAGAAGGGGGGTATTTTGGTTTTGAAAGCTTCCACTACATTTTTTTTTCCCTTGTACACATCCTTTGCACTTGACAAGCAAAATGATTGGATTCAGTAGAAAGTATGCTCAGAAGTCAGTCTCTTTTGCAGCATTTATAAGGGAAAGTACAACCCAGCTGTTGGCAAAACATAGCCTCATTGTTTTGGCAATGCTGTTTCATTTACCTTTTTTTCTTTTATACTAACTTGTTTGCTCAGGTATTGGAATTCAGACTTTTTCCTTCTTTTTAGAAATTCACACCCTTTCTGGCAAGGTTTGAACTGTTTTTATTGCTTACAATTATACCTACAGGTAAAATAAATACTTTCCCACGGATGCGCTGGAATCCGGTATGGTTATAAGCTGATGTAGCTGTAAGAGCGGAGTTGTACAACTAGTATTTCTGCTGTTCTGTCTTTTCCTTCTGACAGTTCTTAAAGACACAGGGCTTGGATCTGCTCTTGCTCTTGAGTAATCAAAGCAATTCTTTTTAAAGGGAGCAGGGTTTCATCTATGCTAAATTGGTATGGATGAGAAAAGAACTAAATGACTCCCAGAGTAAAGACCTCTAAGGGAAACCTAACGTGGAGGTAATTTTGCAACACAAATATTGCTGCAGCCTTTAAGCGTGTAACTGTCTTAGCACAGCTCTATCCTGCGTGCAGAAAAATGACACTGAAAGAACATTTTGCTGTCATAAAGTAAGGGGTAGAAGAGTTAGGAAACGGCCTAATTAAGGTCACCTGTGTAATTCATTATGATTCATTTTTTAATTATCTGATCACATACTATTTTTTCCGCAGAGCCCTCTACCTCTGTGCACAGGATGTTCAGAGCACTCTTAATGAGCAGCTATTCAGTAGTTTGTTTTATCTTCATTGTTCCATGTGTGGCCCAAGGCCTTATTTACTGCATGCTATTAAATCCTGTTTTGAGGGCTAAATCCATAAAAAGACTTTGGCCTGGTGACCCTGTGTGCTGAAGTATCGAACTTTTCGACCCCCTGCTGTCTAGTGTTGAGAGGTAGAGTTTATGACCCAGGTGTGCTGTTGCAGCTGTATTGCTATCAGAGCGGGGCTAGTTCCCTGCTCTGGTACTGCAGCGTGCTGTATGGACGTGCCAGCTCTAGTCACTCCTGGCTCAGGTAACCTTAGGAAGTACACGCCACTCTGTGGCATCAGCCTACTCTTAAATTCATGTGTCTCTTTTCATTACACAGTTAAATGGGAGGCTAGGATTTGTGACTCATGCATCCTGTTTTCAGCGATGTCACTTATGTGCTGAAAAGCCTTGGAAAAGTATTTCAGCAGTTGTGACCCAATTTTCCTCTCTGTAAAATGGGAATAATGACATGGGCTAACCCATGTCACAGAGGTGTTCTCTGGCTGCAGCATTTAAAAAAGTTTCTGAGTCTTGGATAAAAAAGGTTAGGGAAAGACAATGTATTGCTTCTGCATCCAAAACTGAATGTCAAAGCTCTGGAAAGCTCCCCTTGTCTCATCTGCCTGAACTAGATTATATTAGAATAATTGGTGATTCATTTTTCCATATGAAAATGGGCTACTTCTAGTGCTCTTAAAGCTGGTATCTTCCAGAGTCATTCCAGAAGTCTCATGAACACATACTAGAGAAAACACAAGAGAATCATGGAGAGAGAGGGAAACACTTTGTCTTATTCTCAGTTCAGACTATATGAAGATTATGTCTATAGCCTAAAATGGCCATGGGCCATTCTTGAACCTGGAGAACATAGTTATGAAGAACACAGCACGACTCACATCCATATTATCACCCTTTTCCCCTCACCAGAAGCTAAGGTACCTTGGCCATGCTGCCTAGTGGGAACAACTGCTGGTCTTTGCTATCACTCAGTCCACGCTTAGGCAAACTGGGGGAATGTTACTTTGCAAAAGTCAAAGCCATGTTTGTGAGTAAGCTCACAACAGTGCGGACAGCCATCAACCAGGCTTGAAACCTGTGCTCTGGTCCTGTTTATTTAATCAGTATAGACATAGCTAAGGAGGTGTGGAGGGTGCTCAGCTTTCTACAAATGAATTTGTCACTGTGAATATAGGCAACTCCTTAAGGTCTGAGATGTTTCATTGTTTTACATCAAGGTAGTGTAAATGGGTCTAGATTATACCCTGAAATTCCTTGTGATTAGAGCTGACTAGGAATACTGGGATGAAATGACAGTAAAAGCCCTGCTCTTTGATAGAGTTGTGGGAATGGACTGATTCTAATGTTTTATGCAGGAGAAATTTTGCTACCGAAGAATTAAATTTCTTCTAGGTGAATAACAAAAGGGTTTTCTCTACCCCAGA